GTCCTGGCATGGTCTTGACCATCATCAGTGGAGGCGGGAAAGGCAACGACTTCTGGAAGTACATCGTAAGTCCGATCTTTCGTCGACAGCTCTGCCTGAAAGTCTGGGATTCGTGCTGATAGCTTGCGAATCTTCTTTGTTCTCGCTATCAAGCTGCCTGGTCAGGTTTGTGGCTCAGGGGCTATGATGCAAGTATTTAGATCATTGCATCGTGTAGCTGCTGTGCTGTCTCGGGTTCTCGTCATAATCTAACGGTCTTCCCTATGTAGTTTGGCTTTTCTGGCACTGAATGGCCAGATATTCGCCATCGTCCCACCTGAGGCTTCAGGAGTAGCGGGTGCCATGCTACAGGTGTGCTTGAACATCGGTAAGATGGAACATTCCTTGATGAAGCGGCACGTCAGAGACTAATCCCGCTGTACCGGATGCTATACCAGGTGGGCTCATCGGCGTCACCGTGCAAGCGGGCCTGTACTCTGCTGTCAACAATAATATAGGTGATTGGCGGGGGATGCAGTACTCGCTCTACTTTAACACGACATGGATCGGTATCTCGCTCTTGTTGTTTGTAATCTTCTATCGACGAGCAGCAGAGGAAAAGGGAGCTGCCCCAACTGACGACGTGGAGAGTGAGCAGACGCCTCCTGGCAGCACTAGGGGAAGCGTGAAGGTTGGGGCTTCAATAGAGTAAACGAAAGACTTCTGGAATCCGAGATCTGTACTTGTATAACGATGGAACCAGAAAAACACTGTAACGTGTGCTTTACGATAGGATCATCGACTTTAATAATATGCATACATAGTAACGTATAGCGCGATGAATCACCGACAACGACTGAATCAAGGGATGACGACTCGCATCACATAACAATACAGTCTTTCTTCCCCTTCTTGTCCTTCTTCACCTTGCCGTCCCTCCCACCAGCCGACGATGACGACGACGGCAAGTCACCGGCCTCACCTCCCTCCTCACCTTCAGGCTGTGGCGCCGCACGCGCCCGCATCGCCGGATCGAGCTGCGTTCGTTGCCGTCGATGTTGTCGTTCTTCTTGATCCCTGTATTGTTCTGCGATCGCGCGGTCTTCTTCCTCCTGTAACGCACGAGCGAGTCTGAACCAACAAGCGGGAGACAGATGTTAGATTGGATGGGGACATGACACTTGTTTGGGAGGGTAGTTGAAAGGGTCAACAGCAACTTACTGCAGATCCGTATGATCTTCCAAACTGCTCCTGAACTCGCCCTCATAGACCGCACCCCTCTCCTCACCTCTCAACCTCGCCTCCTCCCTCTCCTGCTCCCTTCGCGCCCTCTCATCCCTCCTGACAACCTCCCCCGCACTCATCCCACTATAATCCCCACCAGCACCGCCAGCCGGGTAAAACTCACTATTATAATAGTTTGTGCCGGCGCCGTCTATATCGACGATTGATTCCCACGTGATTTCCGGTTCAGAGGCGAATGACTGGTCGGTTACGAGTTGGAAGAGGGTGGGTGATGTGTCGTCGCGTTCGGCAGGAGAGGAGGTGTGCGCGGGTGCGGGTGCGGCGGCGTCGGCGGTTGGAGGGTTGTGACGACGGTATAACACGCTGAGATGTGAGTTGCGGAAGAACTAAGCGAGGAGAATGACGTGTCAGCAGGTTTAAAAGTCGTCATGTGAGCACCTTGAGCGTGACTTGCAGCAACAACCGATCCGGACTCCAAGGCGTTCAGCGCGAATAGTCCTGGGAATGTGAGCTGTGTGGCGCTGCTTTGCAGGAATTGCTGTAGCACGACAGCTGTACCCAGGTAGAGAAGATCAGAAAAAGACAAGGAATGCGTCGAGACGACACCGAGGGTGCAACTTACCATCCGACGAGTTCTGCCCCTGTCCGTCCAGACCCTTGATGATCGCCTCCTGCACACCATCATACGTCGGTACCTGCTTCCGTCCTCCCACTCCACCTCCAGAAGCTCTCTCCAACGCCTCCCATTCCTCGCCGGAGGACTTGTCCGCAATCCATCCATGCACAAGCTCAACACCAGCCATCGCAAACAGTGCCAACTCGTCACTACTCCCTTCCTCGGTCGCCTGGAAACTCTTGATATCGTCAAACCCGACATTAACGTTCAACCCGCTAACCGTGGTCGGTAGGATATCCAACGCAGCCTCAAGTGTCAGGCCTCGAGCGTTTGCATCCTGTGGCCGGGTCACGAGGAAGTCCGCGATAAGCGCCGCCAGAGCGGAATAGGAGATCTTGTCGAGCTTTGACGAGATGTGAATTGATCCTCGGAGGATCAGTACGTTGGCTAGTGCAAGGAGTGAGCAGGGACCATTTGCGTTTTGGGTGAGGACTTTGACGGTTCGTCGGTATCCTCCTATGCGCGGGTCCGGCCAGGTGATCTCTTTGAGTGTCCATTCTCCAAAGGGATCCTCTGTGTGCTCTGCGTCGCCGGTATTGGAAACGACCGGTGGCGAGGCAGGCTCTGCTTGAGGTGGATCTTGTATGGATAGTTTGTCGAGGTTGTCTGATAGGTTCGAGGTGGTGTTCTGCTGTTGTTGAGGTTGAGGCTGCAACGATGAAGCAGGCTGCTGCTGACCATCGTGCATCGAGACTGGCATGCCCTCCTCGGCGTGATCGATGCTGACAGGCGGTGCCAGTCGTTCCACCGGTTCCTGCGTGTATGCTTCTCCAGTTGAAGTATGCATGACACTGTTGGGGGATGTGTGGCTGATGTCACTGATGATGGCGATTGAGATGATGGTAGTTGAGAAGAGGAAAGAATGATGAACACAGCTTACCCTTGGCAGTAGGTAGAGGATGACTCATAAGAGTTTACTTTTCTAGGCAGTATAAGACACCTCATTCTTCGTTTCTATGCTTTTGGAAGAATCTTTTTCAATCGAGCCAGAAAATTATAAGAGCCAAGCTCTTGAAGCGTATTCCTTCGGGTTTCCGCGACTTGCCCTACTACTCAACAACAGGAACAGATAGGATCGCTTACTGCCTTGCACTTGGAATTCGTTGGTCGTCTCTAACGGAGTGTGCTGCGCACTCCGGTAGCCGTAAACAGCTGAAGCCATTCAAAGACAAACAAACAGTGAGTACACCCGTTTTCCCACCTTTTCACCTATCCCTGCTCTCTTGGGACCTGTTTTGCAATGCGGGAAGGCCAACAAGAAGAAGGAGGAGACACACACACACACAAAAGCAACAATGATGACTCTTCAGACCAAAATACAAAGAAATAGGAAGTGCCGAATGACCCCCCGTTACTGGTGACTGGGGTTACCCAGAACCTTCGGGAACTGGCGTAACCTCGGGCATATCTCTTCTTCCTACATCTACTCGTAACCCCTGCACCGCCCCCTTCCACCTCACGGTACCGTTCGCCCTCTTCCACCCATCGAGGCCTCCACGGAGTTGCCCTTCTCTCCTGTCCCTTGGAAAGCGTTCCGTTCACGTCCTACTCCGTCCTCGGATGTCGAGCTGGATATGTGCGGATGTCTTCCGGGTGCCGGGCGAGTGGTGTATCTTTGTGGGTCCAGGTCTTTTGATGTGTGGCGTTGGCATGATCTTGGGAAACGAGGAGGTTGGGTCGTGTGGTGCGGATGGTTTGTGGATGCGGGAGGTTGTGGGTAGGGTTTTGATTATGAATACGGTTCTCTGAAAAAACGTTTTTGTGTGTGTTGTGAAAATCTCCTTGTGTTCCCGTTTTGGGAGCGCTGGGATGCCGCGGTTGCGGGCGAGGAGTGTATGTTCTGATTGTTTGCAAGGTGGCTGACATTGGCTTCTCTCTATCGACAGGTCTTGTCCTCGCGTGGACTTCGGTAGTATCTCTTTCCTTTCCCTCCCTCGCTTCTTCCCTCGCCCTCCCTTCTGTCGTCCCCTCTCTCTCTTTCTCATCTAGTTATTCCGCCAAAGTATACACCGCTTCCCCTGACCTGATCTGATGAAACGCCTCTACGTTTCCACTCTATCGGGGACAATGCAACTTCCTCTCACAATGCAACTGCACAACAAATATGATGTCGCGGTCTCCGCATCTGCTTATATCACTGTACCTTTCTCTTCATGCAGCTATACAATCATCCATGCCATGTAAGACCAATGCTTTCCTCTTACCCAGTGCGTGATCATGATCACCAGGTTGGATCGTATGCTCTGCCAAAAGCGAGGTCTCGTTGTGTCTCCACCACCGCGCCTTGCGGTACAGCCAATCCTCCGTGTACTCTTTGAGGACGCTCCGGTCGCAGACATACGTGGCTGATACTCTGCAATCCGATCACTTGCCCAACGACCTGTCTCCTACCGCTTTGATTTCCACTCTGCGCGTTCATGTGGTTGCTCTGCATCTGCCTGCCAAGACAGGAGAGTTGAGCTGCATGCGAGGACCAGCACGAGATATTGCGTGCCTCCGAAGTAGATGCTATGGGTTGAGCAAGCGCTGCTTCTGTAATTACTATTCCGGGTATCTCTCGCCAGGTGTTGGGCAACTGTCCGCCTTCTCCCGTTTGTCGTTGTGTGAGGAGTACAAGTCTTGGACCTGCATTTTACGAGTCGGCCTGGTTTCTATCCGCCCTTCAGCAAGGTGGAAATTTGGGCGTCGGTTCGAACCAACCCACTTTTTCCGCTTTGGCAGAGGGGCCAGACTCGCTCAGAACGACCTTCGGTCGAGCCAGAGTCTGTATAAACGAACTTTGGCGTGCAGCCCCAAGGGCGGTGGGATCATGTCGACCCTCGGCTGGGATTAAACCGAGGGTCGTTTCTAACGCTTTTCATTTTCCATAGTGTTAGTAGATGAATAGAGAAGAATGGCGGCTGCACGGGAGCGAAGCGCCGGTTTTTTTTTGGAAGAACAGGGTTAGCATGAAGTCGCTGTCGTCGTTGAGAATTTGCGGTATACACCATTACTCATTCCTTGGGGACAACCTAAGGGTCTTGAACGGGGGGACCACCAGCAGAAGCAAGACAAGCTTGTTATGAGCCATATAGATGTCCTTTGAATTGTTCTACAAGAAGGTCGCCTGATGTAGTGGTTATCATATTCGCTTTACAATGGGTTTTAACAAATTCTAGTTTCTACGCGAAATGTCGCCGGTTCGATCCCGGCGGTGACCTATCTATTTTTGCGTTGCTCTGGACTGTTGTTTGCCGTGTTTTGGAGTGTCTGCGACGTTTCCGTACCTTTTTGTCCACTCGCAAAGTCGTTTGACGACTTTTTGCGCGTTTGGTCGCGAAAACGCGAAAAGAATGCAAAATAGATGGCTTCCAAGTTGTGTCAGTGACATCACATGCTACCTCAGCTTCTCGTTCATCGGTACAGAACACGAGCGAGGTTATTCAAAGTCGAGACGACGAGTAATTTGCGATTCGCTATCGCGTTTTCGCGAAATCGCGCGACGAAACCCAGTCGACGTTGACAGAGCTATTCAGACAGCCATGCATCGCTGACTGGCATACTCCAGCAGGTCTGACTCCGACTCCTAATATGATTGTTTGTCCTGGTACATGTGACGAGAGTTCGGTCAGCGTCACGGCAACGTCCCCCCTTCCCAACTTCTTGCGACTATCTGCGACATGCGCGTCTGTTTACGCCTGCTCGACCATACATTGAGTGGTCTATGTAAGGCGACGGGCGAAGCAAGTTACAAGTACTGTGGAGTCGTTCACAGAGAATAGTACTTGATCAGGGCATGCACTGCTTCATTGCGAGAGGTCACGCAAACATCTGTGGAGGTTGACGCCGTGTTAACGTATTCTTCTAGACGATATGACGGCATCGGTGTGGAGCTTCACATCTGGCCACAGCCATGGTCGTTCCAAAAGTGAGGCAATAACACCTGATAGCCCGGTGAAAGCAGCCCAGGTGGCTAGCACCCCAGGCGACTCCCATTCGCAGTGGTGCGACTGACTCATCTTCGCCTCCCTAGTTTGCCCTCACCGGGGCGAGCGACGCTGAGTAGAGCGCGGCATGCAAGGTGTCACCGTGTACGGACGCGAGACAGAGATGTGGGAGACAACTGCGTGACAAGCCGACTGCGTGATACCAAGCTGAACTCCGATAATAACGTCCATTACAATTCCATAAAACAATTTGGTAATCAACGGGACAAGATATCCTGACATTCATACTATCGTATTTTTGGAACCTGAGACCAATGAAGATGTCGTAAACATCACTACAATACAAGAGGGTAGAAGAAAAAGGTTATAGTATCAAATCTCGAGGTCTCCAAACGATGGGACAACGCATGGGCTGTATCTGTTGTCTCGAGAGAGAGTTTCGGCACAGCTACTTTGACGTTTGATGGCGTGACGGTTGTTGGGTGTTGTATCGGAGAAACTGGGAGAGGATGGCGGGAAGGGACGATCAACGTCGATAGTTTTCGATAGAGGCAAGGATGGTAGGAATTACGGAAAGAAAACAAAAAAAATCATGGTGTTGCGCGTCGGGTCGAAAACTCTAGAAGATGGCAAGGTCGCGAAGCTGGGTTCGCAATATAGTGCTGTAAAACGACGTTCCAAGGAGAGACGGTCAGCGTTCGATCTTTCCGCTCGACGACCATGAATTCTGCGAGAAGACTTACTCTACCAGACGAAAATCGGATGAAGCGCGCACAAAGAATTAGCCCCTGATCACCGCGCGCACATCCCGATCGGAACGTACCCTGCACCGCAGCCATCACCACTTTCAGCATGGCTGTATCTGTCGCATTCGTAAAGCTGTCGGATACAAGTCAGCAAACGTGTCATTTCAGGGAAATTCCTGCCAGCGGCACGACTCACTGAGTGTACACCTCCTTGGAAACACTCCTATTCAGCCCCACAAACTTTCTCCTAAAGTACTCCCTACCGGCCTCATACCCGGCCGGGCCCGACGGGCCCTCGTAGTCGTGGAAATAATCCGCTATTTGGGAATTCGGGTTCTCCAGTTGTTCTCGGAATACATCATCTTTATTTAGGAAAAGGATCTGTTCCGCCGCGTGGCAATGTATGTCAGTTCTAGCGAAACGCAGAGTGAAGGCAGCTAGTTCCTTGACTCACCATGCTAGTCTTTACAAACCACTGAGAGTTACAGATAGAGTCGAACAGCATCAACGCTTCATGCATTTGATTCTAATGTCCCAACATCACGCCACAAGATCAGCCACGAGGAACTGCAACGAAAAACGCTCAAACCAGCGACTCACGGAATCCTTGTCTTCCACCAGAGAAGAATTGTACCCCGACAATGCAACAAGGAAAAGCACCGCCGTGACATTCTCGAAACAGGATACCCACTGGCGCGTTCGATACTTGTTAGCTGATCCGTTGACCACCACTCAAGGACAAGCGAACTGAGAGACTCACTTTCCGTCTCTCAGACCGCTGTCCACCAACATCGAACAACCTGCACACGAAACATCCCCTGCTCAGCTAACGTGGCACGCCGCAGGGCAGGGAGAAAAAAAGACTCACGAATACGTCAAATCGCCCTCGGTAAACTTTGTCTCTGATATACCTGTCGTCTTTACCCGAATCCTCAAGATATCCTATCCGCACGAACACGACATTCAGTCAACGCCCGCTCATCGCGCATGATCCCCCTGTCGCGACATTCACGACGTACCTGATGCGACGGCTTGAAATCGCTCGTCCACAGCCTGTTCAACTGGGAGTAGAAACTACACCGCAGCAACCCATTATCATTCATCAGCAAACGCGCCTTACACCGACCTTCACCCCGGCCCACTCGTGCAGTAAAAGGAGAGAGAGAACAAAAACGCACTAGGGCAAGCTCTCCGGCAACGCATACTCATTGCCCCTCGAATACGCAAGCTGCACCCCGGGGTCACGCCACAGCAGTTCCAGCGGTTCCCGGTATTCCAGCGGGAAGGATTGCCCCTGGCGGATTTCTGGGGCATCGTCTACGAGGGCGATGAATTTCTGCGAGCACGCCAGACACGGGCAGGGAAGAACAGGTCAGCGATTGGTTCGGGGTGGGTGGTGGAGGAGGTTATAAGAGGATGGGAGGGAGCGCTTACCCTGTTCGAGGAGAGGACGCTCATCTCCCATTCATCCATCGCATCGATAATCAACTTCATACCCTGCGTGATATTCTCGAAAACTAGCTGTCTGTAATCTACACATCACAAATACACCCAAACAAGCCACCATGTCAACGATTAGCATCCTCCGTAGGTGACTTCACGCATAGGCACTTGAAAGTACCCAAACGGAAGAAAAAACGGGCGCGGAAAGCAGACCTACATTCAATCTCCTCTGGCATAAACGTCACATCATGTATCAACCTCATCTGTTTCAACACTGTTGATTTCCCACTCGCGCCGGCACCGAGGAGGAGCAGCTTTATATGATTTGCGGCTTTTCTCTCATCCTACAGCACACGCGCGGGTCCAATATGAGTCAGCCTTGATGACTACCCTGGAGTTGCGTGCAAAGAAGAGCAAGGCGTGGGTCGGGAAGAAGGGAGTGGTGTAACGTACCTCCTTGATCAACTTGTCTAGTTCTCGACTTCTGCGTTGTTCCGCTTCATCCCCCTGACCGCCAGAAGACATGCATGAACCCATTGCCTTGTTCGCCTGACGTTTCTATGTTGTTGTCTAGTTTATGAGCAAGGTCAGGCCCGAGCGAGTAAACTTTCAGGGTGTATGCGTCTAGGTTCAGTGAATGAACAGACGGAAGCCTCCGGTCGGTCGGTGGGCTGTTCTTCTCCTGTGAATGTATGTACCGGCGAATGAAAACCCAGCAGGTCCAGCTCGTTGGTCAAGTGGAATCGAGCCAATCTTCCTGTTAACGGGATCCAGTAACGGGGATAGTCACAGATGAGCGGGGTATGAGCCGCGAGTTTGCCGCATGATGAACAGAAAGATCGGTCGTCGTTTTTTGCCGTTTGGTCGTCGTGTGATTTTTTGTAAAGATGCGTTTGATGGAAGAGTGTATAGAAGAAGATGGAGAGAGAAGGACGAGAAGGTAAGTGACATGTGGAGCTGGCTGACGGCATACCTTTTTTCGAAAGAAGCGCTTTCTCTGACCCGGAATGTAATGAAGCAGTGGCGGGAGGGCGGGGTATGGATTGAATTCGTAGCACTTACGATCAACAAGTCACACACAACAAGCAATCCCGGGATACGCGAGACTTTTCTTTCTTGGCCTCCCTGCAACAATCACTGGACTGATCCCTCAAGCCTTCCTTTGTGCAAGTTCCAAACCGCGCCGTCCGTGCTGCCGAGTACCGTGATACTGTTCGATAGACGCTTCGCTAGAGTCTGATCAAGGAGAAGGGTGTGCAGGTGATAGGTATCTCCTGGATTGCGTTGCGTTGCGATCAAAACGTCACGAACTCTGTCGGCGTGAGAAGTCGCTAGTGTGGTTTCCAAGTCTTACTCGGTCGTACGTATCTAGAGACCACGCTTGACACACTGCCGGTGTGATGGATGATTGGTATATACGTCCGAGGTAGCTTGTCCAAGTCCTCGAACAAGAAGTCCCATTTACCCATCTCCAAACTGGTCGTTCATCGTATTGTCCACTGTCCGCTCGGTAGGCGCAGGCCAAAGCAGAGGAGAGAACAAAAGAATTTCCGTTGTATTGGTGAACAATAGAAATTTGGGTTAATGGTTGATAGACTTTCTAAAGCAAGCGTCTAGCGTCTATCGGAAAGGGAGGCTTGTTTGCGCGGATGCAAGTTGAGAGAGGGAGGTCCGTTGGGGTTTGTGACAGTTGCTGCTATCTAGCGAGCATCTAGAGTAGAGGCGGTGGTTTGGCAATATAACCAGGTAGTAGGCCATCGGAGGAGGATGCCTGATTCGTCGTCTTCGGTCCTACTAGCTGCCAGTGGAATCCAGTGGAACCCTAGTCTGATGTAATGAGTTTAGTGCACCGGACCCCCCTTGATAGCGAAGTTTGATGACGAAAGCATGAAACAGCGGAAGCAACACGGACGACGCGATTGCTCGCACCGAAATTCCAAGCAACCAACCAACCATTTCATTTAAGCAGTACTCAAACTTGAAGCTATGAACGTGCTCCTTCAGCCCAGACACTGAACACACCAGAGCCCATACAATGCCCCTCCATTTCCTCGGCTCAATAGCGGAGACAACTTCAATCTCACT